CATCGCACGCAGTGCTAGAGAGCGAGAATAGTGACGTATGTAGGGCGGAGTCAACACCGTTGGCACGTTAGCAGTTGGAAAGAAAAAAAATGACTCTCGAAAGCGAATGGTTTCGTTTAACACCCTTGGAATTGTAACTGTCTTCATTTGAAACGGAAAATTTAAATAATGCAATAAATACTTGCTTCTATTAAACAAAGGTTAAAATTTGTTAAAATATATGAGAAGAAGGTTGTTTCAGCAAATAAAATGTCATTTTGAAATCTGTTCTACCTTACATTCAATACTTGCTGTCTACTTGTAAGGCTTGGTACCTACTTCGGGAATGAAACCATAGTCATAGCATGCAAAATTTGGGCTTTTCACTCGAGATGAATAAGCCAAGCTGTTCTTTGTATGTTTTGAGTGACGAAGAAAGCACTCACTGTCGTTATGAATTAATTTGCTGTTGATATATATTGTACATTCCTTCGTTATCGGTGAAAAATTTACATTTATTCTTTTAGTAACCTCATGTGCATCTTTCCATGAGGCTGAATGGTAAATGCATTTTACTGCAATGGTTTTTGTTGTTGTTGTTGTGATTTTGATTTCAACCGAAATTTCTACGTTACTAATCATTATTTTCCTGTCTGTTGAAATAAGGAGACCTGCGTGTGTCCGTCCTTTACTATCACCTTTTCCATTCTGCCATTGGGGCATGTGAGGGGACACCCGACGCGTCGCGATCTACCGGGGGAAACTAATACATTCAACATTTTTTTCTGATACTTCCGTAACGTTCTAACATCATTTTTTTTAAATCAGCGTGATTCGGAATTTTGAAGCACCTAAAACATTCCAAGTCTACAGAGATGATCATTTGCTCAGTCGATTCATGCAGACAAGTGACGTTGATTTGCATTAATTTTATCCTTCTGAAACTTCCTAGAAGAATTGTAAAGAGAAAACAATTGAATCTGATGTGATTTAAAACGGAAATAACGCCGCGTTTTTCTAAAAATGTTGATGTATACATTTTGTTTGTTATTCAAGATGTAGATCAGTGTAAAAATGGAACTAAGCATATGCAGCTAAATAATTTAATGTTTGAAAAAGAGAAAAAAGTCCAGAATTATTTTCTGATTCTTAGAAGAAGTATTGTCAGCTAGGAAACTCCTAAATGCTTCATGACATCAGTAACAGACACAGAACACATCACAGACTTCACAACCTGGTGGTGGAACTATTTTAAGATGAAGTCTCTTACTCGCTCTGACAGTTCTTATTGTGAGCCTAGTATGAATCTTTAAGTAGAGCAGTTAACGTATGATAGAGAATTTTTTGGTTACCTCGTGGCACATGAGTACATGATGGGATTATCAAGTACTCATTCATGTTGGCAAAAGGGAAAACACCCCCAGATTTTCCGTTTAAGAAATTTACATCTCAGCTATTTCCACTCAACCGATGTTCAAGAAATAGTAAAATAGTCCAACATGAAAATCTCTATTTCTACCAAAAAGTTTTGACATACCACACACTCAAATGGGAACCGATGATAGTAAATGTTGATATTATTATTTTAGTAAGATACGTTTTCATATCCATTAAGCCCAATATGTTAATTCACATCATTATATATTTATTCTATGAAAATATTGTTTCATTAGATCAAAAATAAAGGGATACAATTTTGTTTTAATATTGGATGATTATTTTATTAAGGAGATAAGTCCAAGGTGTAAAAACGGTTTTGTACATCACATTAATGTAAATCTGAATTTACAGAGTAGCCCAAACAATCAATAACGAATAACTCTATAACTTTTGTGTAGAACATAAATGTCCCAGATGGCAAGATGTCTGGATGTTAAGTTTTGTTTTCTTAGAATATGTAAGAAAGGTTGATTTCCCTTATCAAATCACCGATTCAATTTGTGGGAATTCAAGACGCCTGTAGTGGTGAAACCTGTGAATTACGAAAAGATTCTTTGCACACATGAATGATATGACTTGATTCATCCGATTCATGATAAGTAAATTTAATGGTTTAAATAAGTATTTACATGAAACAAAAACTACATATAACTTTTCATGTTTCCACCCCAAAGGTGGATGAGCCAGGCAGTTATATTTTTATTAATTTTTTTATTATGAACTTCAAATAAATTTTATATTGTGTGTTCTTACTCAATTCTTGTTTCAGGTGTACTCTTATTTTTCTTATTCAGATACTATTTATTTTTAACATTCAATATCATGTGCACTCGTGATCGTTGGTGCGTGTGTGTGTGTATATCTCTAGTAATTTACAGGATGCGAGGAAGGCTTATTGGAAAGCTGTTAAAATGAAACTGTTCAAAATGTCGACTCACCTGCAGTTCATTTCACGCAAATTTATGGGAGTAGTCGCCACAGCGGGAAGTTCTTTTGTAGCCGCGCGACAAAGCTTTTCGTGTGGCCACGAAGTCGATAAACCGTACGGCGTTCACCTCTTGCAGCGCACAAAGTCATTCATCTATTCTTCTCGCGGACTCCGATTTTATGGATTCCTTGACTTTTGTAATAAGTCGAAAGATTGGATTCTGTCCATTTCTGTGTTACAGCATCGTGTCTTCTTTATAAAAGAAGCTTCATTACCTTATTTTCCGAATGATGTACTTTCTATGGCTTGTGCTTTTTTATGAATCTCCGCCTGATTCCGTGTCTTTTAAAGTTTCATTCTAAATATTCTCTTGGTAATAATATTTTATTGTGAGTAAGTTTAATCAGATTACTTTACCTTTCCAGCAACACATTTGATGTGATGAAAGCTCAATGTGGTTTTGTGAATGCTCACCTGCAAAAACGAAACACACATTTTATTATATTGAAAGTTAATACCCATTGCATGCATTAGGCTATACTCAACTTCTCGTTCTAAAGGCCCCCCACATCAGTTTCATTAAAAAAATTAATAAAATTAACTCATTCGCAATTTTCAATAAAAAAATTAAAATGTTTAGTATGATTTATCCCTCTGCAATAAAATACAAAAAATAATCAAATAAGGAATTAATATTACTATTGTCATATTAAACGACTCTCCAAATATGCATCTTGATAAAGGATACCTTCTGTATTAATGTAATTTGCATGTCAAGAATAAGTCCTGTACTTTACAATGTCCTGCGTTTAATTAAAATTTTAGAACACATTTCAACAAATGAATTATTCAAAGTATGGAAACATGGTTTTCTAATTGTATAAAGTAAACGTTTCAAAAAATTCTCAAAAGTGATACAGCGTCCGTTTGAGCCAGTACAGAACAATCGTAGTGATTAAATTATCACATTTCTCGTTCAACAATGATATTATTGAGTATATTTTATCTAATTACATCCCAAACTTTGCCAAATTAAAAAAGAACGTTTTCTTGTCCCCGAAAACTGGAATAACCAGATGGAAAAACTTCGTGCTTTATAACACTATTCCACTTCCAAGACGCTACTCTTCGTTCTCGAGCCGTATGAATTATCAATTGATTAGTGATTCCGGTGCGTCAATTGTTAAGGTCATTAGTCCATAACTGTAGTGTATGATTTTCTTCGGAGATCTTCCTTCCCTGGATACCGAGATCCAGCCACGACCTATAAGTTGGTCAGCGAGTGATTTCCCACCAGTGGAGAGGTGGGGGCATCACCTTAGCCCGCACAAACTCTAAGCTCACAACTGATATCCAGACATGTGTGGTTGTGTAGTGTATGGTAGTGTGGTGTGTGTACAAGAATGAGGAAGGAAAGATAGAGCACGTTACATTATCTCTTTGGAAGAATACTACTCCGGCATTTACTCAGTGATGAGCAGAGAAACCACATCTAGCACCAAGAAGCGCATTAGAGCAACTGTGTGATGTAAGTGCCGATGGGGCAGATCTACATCTGCTCCTCAGACAATAACAGATCTCTCTGATAGATTTCCGAGAACCTTGCTCCCCCTCCATCGCCTCTCACAATCTGAGGTCTAAACCACAGCTATTCTTCAACACCCTCCATCTGAAGCGCCTCAGAACGGAGGTTCTAGTATTGAGTCCCGAAGGAGACGGATCTGCGACTCTAACTATATTGCTAGGTCGAATTCGGCCGGAGTCTCTATCCGAATTTATTAACTGCGCTCCAGGATGTTACGGGTGTTAATGAATTCGAGACATCGGGGGTTCCTGGTTGGGTGATCGTCTGAGGATTCCGGAATCTAACGGCACCGCGTCCCTGCCGTAAAAGGCACTGACTAACTAGATTAAACGAGCATTACTCCAAACCTTCTGCACCATAACATGGTTACGTAAAATCGTTGTTATGAAAACTAAAAGTTCAGCCGCTGTCTGTAGGACATTTCTAGCGGTCGGCTGCTCTAATCGATAGTTTTCGTGATTTCTTTTATCATTACCAGACGAATGCCGGAGCAGTACACTTACAAAAGGACCACCGATTTCGTGCAATCTTTCCTTCTTCTTCCTTGCCCCTTTTCACCCCTTACTTACACATTCTTAAGTACAGAACATCACTACACTTGTCGGGGTGTTAGTCAGCCGCATACTTAGAGTTTGTGTCGGATGGGCGGTGCCTCACTGTGGGAGTTATCAGAGAGACACCAAACATATTACATCACAAACGTAAGGCGCTTATTACTCTAGTGGTTTATGCGCGCAGGAACAATAAATCAAGAAGACGCATTTTATTTGTGCCACCAACTACCAACGAGCAACGTCTACCAGTCTAAGCACTAATTCTACAAAAATTCCTACGTGGAAAATATTCCATTACATCCCTTCTTCCCCAGGGTCGTAACATTTAAAACGCTAGCCCACGTTACCTAGCAGTGCTAATCACTTCAGCGCCGTAGCCTAGATCCTGCTCCTTGAGAGCGGCAGTTCTCCCAGACAGATATCCCAGAAACGCAATTAGCCATGGCATTCGGACCGTCTTCGCCGCCGCCGGCCGCCGCAGCCGCAAACGGGGAGAGTTAATTTCCGCTCGCAGCGCGGCGGCGCGGCCTGCGGGGGAAGTAATCCTGGCAGGTGGGGCTGTCTCCGCCGACGCTGAGCCGGCGGCGGTGGTGGCGGCGGCGGCGGGGCCGCAAAGTATGCAAATGAAGTAAGAAGAAGGAAAAGTGCGATAATACAAAGAAAGGCCGGCGTGAGGCGCGTTATCAGAAAGAAAACTGCGAAAAGTTGCGCGCAACTTTTATTAGTCTATTATAACTCGGGATATGCAATTTGCGCGAAAGTTGCGCGGCGTTGGTGACTCTGAAAGCAGCGTCTGTGAGTGCTCGGACGTCCTTACCACCTCTCGTCCTCGCCGCCACCCTTCTTCTCTGCCTGTCGCCCTCAACATCTTCCTGCCTCACAGCTTCAGTCCTCATGGCCTCCCGTCGCACTGCCCTCCATCCTCACCACCTTCCATCCTCACTGTCTTTCGCCCTCACCATCTCCCGTAGTCGCCGACTCTCGTCCTCACCGACTCTCGCCGTCAACACCTGCCGTTGTAACTGCTTCCTGTCTTCATTTCTTCCTGTGCTCATCACCTACCTTCCTCACCCTGTTCCATATTCACCACCTCCCATCATCACCACTTCCCTTCCGTACCGCTTTCCGTCCTCACTGTACCCCATTCTCCCTGCCTCCTCACAGCCTCCCATTCTCACCACCTTAACTCCTCTTCTCACTGCCTCTCGTCCTCACCACATGTGGTCTCACTGCCTTCCGTCCTCATTACAATTTACTGTTAAACACTCGCATCATCATCCTCTTTCGTCCTCGCCATTTCCTATTGATGCATCCCTCACAACCTTTCGTCACCATCACTTATTACCTCCTCCTGCCTTCACCATCCCTGTCTTCATTCTCCTTCGTCAACACTGTTCTCGCCCATTCTCACTTCACCTCATCCTCACCGCCCCACCCTCGTCCGTGTTCTCATCTACATCCTCGACTTTACCGCCGGGATAAGAACCCTCGCTCGTCTCCAAAGGCTGCTGCTGCGCGCGAGCCAGAACTTAGCGGCGAAATGTGCGCAAATTTTGCAAGAAAGTTTTTAGATTGGGGAATAAACTCTGCGTTCCATGTTGCACTATTCGTGTGTTATTTGTTTCGTACGACTTTCGCAACTGCCGCCGAGTTTCTCGCTCTTGAGAGAGATTCCTCTGGTGTCTGCTGAATCTCTCTTGTTCGAGGTGCTTGTCAAACTATTTCATTTCCCCTCGTTACAGTTTATTGCAATGATTCAATTCGAAGAATGTTTTTAAGCGTTAGTTGTTTCTCTACTTCCTTTATTTTTGTTTCTTCATTAATATTTAATTAAACCAATATTTAAATAAACCAACCCATTGTAATATGAATAGTTGGGTACTATTTATACTGACATCATAAATAACAATAAATGACTGGGAGGGATGGCTCAGGGCATCAACTAAGATCACTGCAGTCCCTCTGACCGGCAGGTTCTAGGTTCGAGTCACGACAGTGGCAGTATTTTCGACATTGACTAGTTAGCTATGCCGAATTCAGTCGCCGTCTGGAGGAGAATTCTAGCGGCCGGCAGTTTTCCGTGGTTTCTTCGATCAACGCCTGGCGAATACCCAAGCAGTACCCTAACAAACGTGCCACGGACCGCGCGCGATCTCACCTTCCTCTGCCTTGTCCTATCCTCACCCCTTACACACACACTTACACTACTTGCATTACACTACCCCACATGCCGGGAGACACGGCTGTGGCGGTGACCTGCTGGTGGGAATTACCTGGTTGCGGTCGTTTAGTGTTGGAATATCTCAGTCACCCAACGTAATTAAACATTCACTGCAATTGCGGGACTAATGCTCTTTGTAGTTGACGCGCCCGGAATCACTAAAAATCAATGAAAAGCATAGAACGTGATAATCCTACCGCCAACTTCCCTTTTTCAGATGATTATCCAAGCGTTTACGGCACCGAGGCAGGCAGTGCTACATTTGAGTAATATTTTCTGTTTTACGTTTTACCAATGTTGACTTTAAGCACACTTTTGTGCTTGACGTCACGGCGTGACGCCGTCAGTGGTTTCTAATGACGAACTACAGAAGCAGCTTCTTCGATAACGTGATTTACCTTTGGTTTTGTTGTTCAATAACGTGATTTAACGCGCCGAAGTAAATAAAGAAGGGAAAATTGGGAAATGAGCTTTACAGTGAAGCGGGTGAGCTGTAAAGGATACGTAGAAAATGTGGTAAATGCCAGACCTTTTCCTAAACATATCGTGAAGCACACTAATGATTGCAATAATGTACAGTATCTCATTTGTTTTTGTGGAAACAATATTTATTTTGAATAAATGTGAATAAATACTAAGGAGTACACCATTTAATCACCTACAATAATTTAATTTTCTGGTTTTTCTAGAGGTCGTCGTAACTTTCGTCTACATCGTTACTTTTTAAATCATTTTCTCGATATTGCAGGTTGTTTATGAATATTTGTTGATAGCCTCCACGTGTAATCTGATATAATCTAAAACATTGAATAGTAAAATATAGCAACAGAATGTATGAAAATTTGCGCTAGAAACCCGGTTTGGTATTTCCTATGATATATGGGTCCAATTGTCCTTTACGTTACTGTAGAGCTTTTGCTAGAAATGAGATTATCGGAATTCGCGTAATTCACAATCATTTAATTCGGTTTGTGAGAATTTGGATATGATCCCGAATATTCGTGCGAGTGTCTAAAGCCAGAAAATGTATTTTATTGCTTGGAGGCGGGAGGAGTGTTTTTGGGTGTTTTAGTTTGAAATTCTATTGCTAAATTCCGTACGGTACATCATCCATTGATTTTCGTTAATTAATAGACGAGATTTAATTGAATGGTTTGGAATTGAAACATATTTAAAGTATGTGATTATTTCGTGCATTTGGGAATTTATTGAGTAAACAGATATTGAAACTTTTTATATTCATCTGAAAAGTGAAGGCTTTCAGGGCCCTGCAATGTACCTAATAAAACTACGTATCTTAATCGAACCTTACACTTAGGACGTTTATGAGAATATTATGTAGTACTATCAGAATATTTCTTAAAACAAAAAGCGTGTGAAGACAACATTTAAAAGAAAATATTTTTCAGGATTATTACTAGACAAAAAAAATGCTATAGGCTAATTTTAAATGTATTCTCGGATAATTACGCGCAGAGTACTCTTTATTTTAATGTGCCTCTATGTGCCAAATGAAAATAAATATAGGTGTAGATGGACCCGATATTATGAGTTGAGTGTAGGAAATTGCTGAGGCGGGTTGATTGATGTAATTATTTGTATTTTCCTGACCAGAAACTGAAGTTAAGGTAGGACAAAACATTTATGCTTATAGTGAGAGGAATAGCTTCAGTACTTGATCTTCTGGTTTAATCTCGCGGCCACACAGTGTCATTAAAAGAAAATACGTATTGAAAATACCATCACTCCGAATTGATTTCTTAACCAAATAACTGAGAGTAACACTTGACTAATGTTTAAATGAAATGTATTTCAAATAAATTTAAATAGTTTAGTAAGATTTCTTAATAATCTCTGTCAATAAATTAGAAAATAATAGAATTAAATGTTTACATGTTAATGAACACATTCATTTAAATGTTTCAATATAAATTAACACATTTACATTGAATGTTCAATAGCTATAAAAAAATAAAAAATAGAAGTAGGTACACCGAAAAAAAGAACCATTCGAGTATACCAGATCCATGACACTGTAAAAAGGAAATTTGTTACAGTAACATGTATCTGTTATACTCCAACGGTTCTTTTTTTTCGGTGTACCTATGTTAATTATCTTTCAAAACTTCGCCTTATTTTCATTCTAAAACTTACCACACTAGACTGTTTTTCTGTACAACAATATCAATGTCGTGGTAGAATCTCTACTTGTAAATATAACAAGGGTAGTTTTAATTTCACTCTTACTCGACTCTACTGCAAACGTCTGCAATATATTTCAACTTCCCCACACACAGGCTAAGCAGAAACATAACTTTAGTTGTTTAACAGAGTTTCTCCTTTGTAACTTCGAAGGGCACACTTGTTACGTAATTCCACCGTTACGTAGCGCTAGAATCTTGTCACTCTCGCGCACCCTAAATAAGCGCATTCGCTGAAAATACCCAGAACCCTCGGAAGTTTTTTTTCTTCCTATTGTGCATTTCGGCGAAGCGGGGAGACTTTTGAAAAGTCTCAACCGAGAACGAACGTTTTGAAAGAAGCCCCGTTCGCATTCAGAAGCCTGCATGCGGGGATGGAGACTTCGTGGGAAGCTGGGGCGCCGGCACGTGGCGCACTTTTTACAAGCGTATTCGCAGTTGCACGTCTGTCGCGGAGGCTACCTTTCACTCGTTTGCTCTCTTGTCCATTCAGGCGTTTGTTCATTCACTCTTTTTATTCATTAACTCATTTATTCTATCATTCATTTACTCATTCATTTAACCCTCATTATTAATTCACACCGTTGTTAATTTATTTATTCACTCCTTTTTTTACTCCAACCACGCCTTTATCCCCCAATCCATTTTCACCCTTATTCACTCATTTATATTAATTGTGTTGCTGTCAACTTTTGTTCCACAGCCGTGTTAAAAGTCAAACAACTGTAACTAAAACTGTTTACTTTAATTGCCTTGTTATCTCGTTTCGAACTGATATCGCATCATATCGGTATGCACACGAATGATAATTTAAACCTCATTAAACACTAATATTCTAAACATTAAATATTTTTCTATTCTCATTCACATGTAATAGTTGAGTTCCTGTGATTATTGTACTGTAATACTACTCTTATTAAATTTAAGATTAACACATCAAAAATACTTCCTGAATAGTTTGCATTTTTAAAATACATTATTTTCTCTTTTAGGTAAAACAAATTTCCACTCAGTTCAACATTTTTCATTGCGATTGATTGCTTTGATTTTTAATGGAACGATGCAATAAATTTCGGCTGGTCAACAGGGCTCACACGGTCAGATATTGTGCCGATCTTCATTTTGAGGTAAGTGAATTATTATTATTGTGAATAGTTGTTGACTAGTGGCCTTTAGCGTAAAAAATGCTGAATAGGCACTGCTCAAAAGACGTTGCTTCAATAGAAGTTTCTTTCGATTTTTAGGCGCTTTGAGAGTTAGTAACTTAGTAAAATAGATAATTGTCTTGTAGTTTTTTCTAACTGATGTTATTCTATGGCTTTCGCTATTTGACCTAGTTTCCGCAGATAATGAAATGTGGCGAGTGTAAAATTGTTTGACTGTAATATAAATCGTAAATTGTAAGTACATTTTGAAAATAATTGTAAAACCTTTCTGGCTGTATTTTGTTTTCAAAATTGCTTAACTATTTTGAAAAATTACCTTTGTTGAAATATTTTGTTTTATTTATCTAAAATCTCTTACCTTACCTTATCTTCGCATATTATAAAACACTTTTTTGTTCAACTTTGTGACCGTGCAACTGTCTCTTTAAATCTGACTCAGTACGAGTATAACCTTGTGTGGTCTATCATCCTTCACAATTTGTACTTTACCGAGAGAAAACACTTCCGGGGTGCCCACCCGAGAAATGGCTATTATCTTTACTCCCCGCGGATGCACAAGTATACCGTTAGGCTCATAATGCTGACGTCGGCCACAGTGTTCTGAATACTCACTCACATCCATATTTATTTCGAACTAGAAGATGCAAAGCCATGTAAATATCCCATACCTGTCTGCGTTGCAGAGGCCATACAACACGACGCATGCACCGGGAGAGGTCGCTCAGTGCATCAACTGCTGACACTGTAGAGCCTCTGATCGGGAGGTCCTACGTTCGAGTGCCGACTGTGGGTGTATTTTCCACACCAGCTACGCTAGCACACGTTCAGTCGCTGTCTGGGGGAGAATTCATGCGGTCTCATCGGTCGTATTTTGTAGTTTCTCTCATCAATACCAGACGAATGGCGGAGTGGTACTCTAACAAACAGGCCACGAACCTTGTGCGATCTTTCCTTACTCTTCCTTGTCCTATCATCATGCCTTACACACACACACTTACATGCACTACACTACCACAAATGCCGGGAGACCGGTCAGGAGCTTAGAGCTTGTCCCGGCTGGCGCGGTGTCGCGCTGGTGGGAGATTCTTAGTTGAAAAAAAACCGCTAGTAGACTGTAGTTCGGCGCCAGGTATCACCATAGAGCAGGGGAAGATCAATTGCAAGGAAGATCAATTGAAAGGATTCAAATGCAAGGATTACACGTACGGGAATAATGACCTTAGTAGTTGACGCGCTCGAAATCACTAATCAATCTCTCAATCAATTAGTCAAACACGCGCATGCCGCAGTGTCCATCTTTGTGCCGAGCGGTCAACCAGTAACGATACGGCAAGACAACGTGCAGCGCGGACCGCGGCTAATTTGCGATGGGCCCAGCGGGCGCGCGGCACCACCGCAATCAGCGACAATTGCGAATCGCGCGTGCGGCTGCAGGGCGCGCTGCTATCGGCCACCGCCGCGGCCGACGCGAAAAGTTGGTTAGGCCCAATTTACGCGCTGCGTCCATGCCCCGCCGCGGCGACCGCACCGCACACGCGATCAGGATGCTGATAGAGGCGCCGATCCTCAATTTCCTCCAATCTGGGTTCGAAGTCTGATCGGAATTCTAAAAGAGTATCCAATGCTACAAATCTCTTGCATATATAT